ACCTGTTATCAACAAGAGGGCCTGAATGAAGCATATTTGTATACCTAACCCTTAACTGTATCCCACAATATCATAATAAAAAAATATTGATTTTAAAAAAATTATAACTCATAAGCCTATGTTAAAAAGCAAAACCACTGGCCTTCTATTGTAGTCTTTCTGTAAAATCTATGTTTGAAAAATTAATCATGTTTAAAATGGCAATTTGTTTACATAAAAGTTGAAATATCCAGTTTTGAAGGAAATAATTTCTTTATTATGTGGTACTTTTAACAATCGTATCTTGTGAGTTTGCAAATGATTACAACCAATTGTGACTAATCCATGAGTGACTGTGTAGCAAAGAGTATTTCTTTATAAATGGTATCTTGTGTTTTATCCCCAGAGCCAAAAACATCACAAAGGCTTTGGAAAAGTCCCATGTCTTGAATTACAAACCTTTGTATATTTAATGTTCTTGTAACTTCATGCTTTTCAAAATAAAATAATAGTTTAAAGCTCAAAAGCATTATATCCAATAACAAGTGAATTAAATGAGTTGACATGTGGTCTCCTATTGTCTATTAAAAAAAAAAAAGCATCCTCCTTGTCATGCAAGGAGAGTGGGGGGAAAACAAACAAACAAAAAAAACCCACAATGGTTGTACCCAGTCACATCTAACAAAGAATTAGAATATGTTGTTCACTTTCAGCAGAACAAGCAACAGTAGAGCCCATTCTGCCCCTGAAACTGCAAAGTGACTTGATTTGCACCACTGCATTGCTTCTTTACAAACCACTACCACAAGGAAAGAAATACAAAAGACAGTTCACATGTACAGATGTATCACCTCATGGTAAGAATGTGCTCCTGAAAATAGAGAAGGCTCTTCAGCTTCTGAAAGCAGGTTAAAACATACCTCTTGACTGAGAAATGGTTAATTCTATGTTGTCAGGAGAATTCTGAATCATTCTAACAGCCATGTTGAATGTGAAGCCCTCCAGACTGATGTTATTCAGAGCTAGGATCTGTCCTCCTGGAAAAGTCAAACATGTCAATAATCCCATCAAGGAAATATAAAGGAGTGATTCCTTAAAGTAGCATCTCTGGCAATTTAAAAAGAAGATGTACCTGGTTTAATCTTTTTAGCTTTTTCTGCTGGTCCCCCAGGTATAATAGAAGATATAAAAATGCCAGTGCCATCTTGGACTACATACTCGCCCTCATTAATGACAAAACCTGTAATCCAAGATGATATTTAATAATAAACAATATTTAAAGATTTTGCGGTTCAGAGAGGTTTGATTATTTGTTTGAGATCACACAGCTACCAAGTGTCATTAGCTGATATTTACTCCCAGGTCCTCTGATCCTCAAATAGAGGATACTTTCTCCTCTTCCCTGATACATGGAGAACAGTGGATTGCTCCCCATTTGTGAGTACAGCTAAAGTTAGGAACACAACCTACCAGTATGCACTAGATTCTGCTCCTGTAGATAATCAGACACAGAAAAGAAGTGGTGTTAATCAAGTACCCTGTCTCAGTGTCTTGTTTCTTACATAGATTGGGGGATCTTGAAATGTGTTCAATATTGAGAGGTGACAAAGATTGACTATTCTTTTCCATCACTAAGAATCTAAATATACTAGAGAAAGGTTGTTACATTAAGGAAGAAAAAAATTTTTCTATACCTCAAAAAATGTCTCAGGCCCAAAAGTTTGAAACAAAAGTCTCATTGCTCTTTAGGGTTAATTAAAGTAGAACTGATCGCTGAAAAGGGCAAATTGGGAGAGGAGGGGCAGGAAAGGGGAGCAGAAAAGTCCAAAGAAAAAATACACCTCTCTGATTTGCCCAGTGGTAGAGACATGTGAGAAACCCTCTTACCGAAACCACGATGTGGATCACGTTTCAGTGCCACATGCACGATTTCTTGGCCTGGTTCAGCTGTAAAGCTCCTCCCCCTATTATTCTGCAACCCTAGGTAGAATTAGAGCATCACATTATGTTTTTCCCTCAAGTTATTTGGAACTTAATACAAAAAGAGTGTTCCACACACATATGCACACACACATTCTCATGCACACACCCCAGAAAACATAGTTCAAATTTAATGCCCCAGCAATATTAGGAAAGAACCACTGAACACACACCTCCAATGAGCCTCACTAGGTCAGTGTCAGTCAAGATTGGGCTTAAAAAGGAGAGGCAAGGGCAGGGTGGCCCACGGTGCTTGTTTTTTGTATGACTTAACTATAGCATTTTTTTTCCTGCATTGGTCTTGGGACAAGAGAGAAAGTGTGCAGAGATGTACTTGCTGGCAGTGAAAACAAAAATGAAACTAAAGACCAGAGATGAGACAGAAAAGCTTTCCCAACTCAGGCCTCTAAAAATCAGCAAGTGATGGGATCTGCAAGCCCAGCCTGTGTTCCCTGGAGTTCTTCCCTAGCTTGTGGTACCCAAACAGAACTCTGAGGCTATTCCCAGAAAGCTGGAGTCCTGAGGTGGACACTCTAGACCTTGCCACAGTACATGTGGGAAAATCCCAAAATGATGACCTGCCAATATCATCTTGAACCTGGAAGACAGTTCATGATAAGAGTTGTCAGGTAATATTCCAGATCCAGCCCCCAGGCTTCATGCTGATCAAGTGTGAATATTTTCCCTAGTTATAAAGTCTCTTTGTCATAACTTACATTCAACTGGGAACTTTCCAGGTGGATCCATGACAGAGGGGAATACTATCTACCTTGCATATATTTTCTGATAAATACTGGGAAGTGATATTCTGGCCTGCATGAAGAAGCATATCTAGAATGGAATGTGCATTTTTCTAAGCACACCACTCCATAGTAGATATTCTTTTTTCTGGGCCACAGTGCTGTGATTTTCTTCACCAAAGCTAACACGTTTCCAGTCAAAGCCAAATGTTGACTCAGTCCTCTTCCCAACCATAGGTAGTTTTGAAAGCAATAAGAAAAAACAGGAAGATTGTGACTATTGTCTGGGAAGTAAAATGAAGTGGTGGCAAAAAATGTAATACAAGTTTCCTATATAAGGGCTTCTTTACTCCAAATCTGGCCATGGCCTGGCTCATACCTGCATGCATGCTCTGAACAGGCAGCCCAAAGAGGGGGTCACCAGTCGTTGGCTTCTGAATCAAACAGGTGCTCTCCAGCTGCTCCCGGCCAGTGTTGCGGCTGCAGGAAAAGGCAGTAAGGTAAGATAAAGTACCCTAGGAGGCAACTTCTTAGCATTTCTGAGTATGAACAGTGACCTGGGGAAGGTAGCCTCATGTCCAATTATCCAATCTTTAGACCCATAAAGGGCTGATCTTGTTATCAAGAGGACACCAGGAAGAATGGTATTAGGGTCTTTATGTCTCAGAGAGGACACTGGGGTCACTCAGACTTCATATGAGCCTTCCGGTATTTACCTTTGGGTAAATATATGACCCTTCAAAACCTCCATTTCTTCAACCACAAAATGAGAATTACTTCTATTTCCTAGGCTTGTGATGGCACCAAAACAAGACAGTAAGTGTAAAGCCACCAGTACTCTTAGTAGGTCCCAATGTCTTGCCATTTGCTCTTGTTTACAGCTGAGGGCCTTCATCCAAGTTGAGCACACTCCAAAACCCCACCTACTATGTCCTCCTGAGGGCTCCACACAGTCACTCATCTGCTTGGTCCTTGCACAGGCTTTTATTGTGTGCCCCCCAATCATACCATGTTGCAAACAAGCATTCATGCATTCAACTGGCCTTGGCGGCATAAGCAACATTCTAGTAAACAAAGAATGTTCTAGGACTTAGGTAGATAATGAATCAAGTGGGGATTCAGTCCTGGGGATCAGTTCTGCACAGAAATAAGGTATACTCAGAGATGAGCAGTGTCAAGAGTGAGAAGGAAAAATGGAAGCAAAACTGTGGGTCTCAGAGCCCTGGAAAAGGCCAACTCTGAGCCTCAAGGATCGTCAAACATCTGAGCAGATTTCATTCGCCTGTGGTCTCCCAGACTGTCTTCACCCTCAGTGATCCCACATCCACCCCACTGCTTCCAGCAGCTGGCTCATCACAGGGGATGCTGGCGTGGGCAGCTTCCGTGGACCCTTTCCCCGTGTCCTCAGAGCTGTGACACTAGAGGCTCTTGGCACATAGTTTGGCAGTGTTCAGAGGGGCTGGGGTCAAAAAGGGAAGAACAGGGGAGACAGCAGAGAAAAGCTGGTGAAGAGATGAGATGTAGTACAGAGCGGCTCTTTGGAGGTTAGGAATGAATGAGGCCTCATTCTGACTTTGCTCTTGTTTGTGCTAGGCATTGCAGCAAGATCACTCTAAGCTGACTGAGAATCCATTCAGTGTTAGGCCTGGGCTGGCAAGGCATTGGGGGTAAAACTGTGAGTTGGGCATGATCCCCACCCTCTGGTGGCTCCCAGTCTGCTGTGGGAGGTGGAGCAGATGCCTTTCACATCAATCAAAGAGCCCAGGGAAAAGCATCAACAGATTCTCATGGGTTCAAAGGACGAAGAAATCCCAGAAGCCTAGAAGAAGCCAAGAAAGGCTACAAGGAAGCTTGTAGCCCATCCTCCAAGGATGAGTGGGCCTTTGGGAAAAAAAACAGGGCTTTTCTGTGACTGGGTTTCTATGGTCCATATGATCTGGGCCATACGTGCAACAACTTATTGTTCAAAAGCCAATGACTGACCATCACGAAAGGATGAATTGAATATGCTTCCACTCATATGAGGTATCTAAAGTAGCCACCTTCATAGACAGAGGGAGAATGGTGATTGCCAGGAATTGCAGGGAAGGGAAGCAAGGAGTCAGTGTTGAATGGATGTAGAGTTTCCATTTGGAGAGATGAAAAGGGTTCTGTGAATTGGTGATGGCAGCAACAATGTGAATGGACTGCATGCCACTGAACTGGTTGGGATGGTAAATGTTATGCTATCTGTATTTTACCACCTAAAAAATATATCCATTTAGTGAAAGCCTTTGCATGCCAGTCTCAGAGCTGAGGATACATCAGGCACAATGCTGTCCTCAGAAAGTTCTATTTTTTTTTTTGAGTTAGAGCCTCATTCAGTTGCCCAGACTGGAGTGCAGTGGCCACTCCTGGCCACCGCAGCCTTGACCTGCTGGGATCCAGCGATCCTTCTGCCTCAGCCTTCCAAGTAGCTGGAACTACAGGCTCGCGCTACCACACCCGGCTAATTTTTTGATTTATTGTAGAGATGAGGTCTTGCCAAGTTGCTCAGGCAGGTCTCAAATCTGCGGGCTCAGGCAATCCACTCACCTCAGCCTCCCAAAGGTGTGGGATTACAGGCTGAGCCACCGAGCCCAGCAAAAGTTCTATTCTTAACAGCACAGACAGATAAAAGCATGTGGGCAGGGTGGTGGTGGTAGGGGACACATGAGACTGTCCTAATGGATCCAGGGTGTGGAGGAACCTGCTCTTTGGGTAAGTCTGGAAAAGTTTTATCAAAGAAGTGACGTGAAACACATGGCCAATTTCTAAGTGCAGGAGGGTAGGGCAGGAGTGGTACCTCAGGGTTGGCTCCCACTGGCATCTCCATTGAGGAGTGCTGAGTAAATAACTGCTAATGAATGGCAGGCAATGGGGTCCCACCTCCTCAGTGTCAGCACCTCCAGACAGTCCTAGGACACATGCCCCAGGTTCCAGGCCAGCAGCATAGCCCACACTTTCCCACACAAATCCTGTGCTCGCCAACTCTCAGCCAGTCTATGGGCATCATGAGGTGGGGACCTTGCCTGTCCTATTCTCTGTATCTGTCCTCAGCACCTGGACCAGGGATGGCATACAGTAGGTACTCGAATAATTTTTCTAGAAAGAGTAAAAAGGACTTTGCTAATGGCGTTCTTCCCTCCCTCTGAGGAAGCACAAACACTACTTGTCCCTAAAGATCTGATGCCACATCCCCCACACAGCCTGTCCCTATCCCCTTGCTTGGAAGTTGCCTCACCCTCAAGGGAGCCTAATGCTGAGCCTGTGTCTGCCTTACATGTTTATCCCATTCTGTTCCCTGTAAAAGGGTTTCTGTTCCTAGAGACTAAGGGGAAGGCACCAGCATCAGGCCACTTACCACAGACTCAGCCCAGGTTCAGTATTTTATAACATGGCTTAATTCCCTGTGGCCACCCAGGACAAGGGTGGAAGCTGAGGCATGGGTGTGTCAAATAACTTGCTCAGAATCACACAACACCAGACAGCTGGGCAGGTATCGATAACTGACTTCTATGACCTGGAATTGCTTCAGAACCCTGAAGGAGCCCTTCAGGAATCATCCTTGCACCATGCAGAAATGCTGGATGTCTTATCCTCATCACTGTCACAGCTCTCAACCCACCTCAGACTCTGACCATAGCTGTTGAGGGTGTCTCCACACAAGTTCAGGCTCAGCTAGTGTTGACAGTGTCCTGCCTCGCATGTGGTTGTATTTCTGCCCTACAGCTTCTTGCACACTTTAGGAGCCTTCTCCCCACCTCCACTACTCCCACCTTACCCCAAAGTATTGAAGAGTCAAGACCTCCCACAGTCTTCAACCAGAGGGGAATGACTGCTGGAATGCAGTATCCACTCTCATGTCCTTCAGGCAGATGATTCAGGAGGTCTCTAGACACTTCTCAGTGGAATTGAGCCCTGGTTGCTCTCAACAGCCACCTGGATGAACCCCACCACCACCAACCTTGTCATCATGACTTTGCTGCCTTCCTTAACTCATTCTCCCACTCACTCCTTCTTCCTGGCATCACCTCCACAAAAACACACCTGCACCCTATTTGTCTCAATTTGTGCTTCTGGGCAGGGACTTTCAGGTGGCCAGGGACTCAAAAGGCATGTTCTTAGGTTTTCCAAGGGTTACCAGTAACTTCTGAAGTGAGTTATCAAGGATTGTGAAAAAGTGGCATTTGTAAACTCAAATTAGAGTAACAGAATTTACAGAAGGCTCCAATTCAGCTTCCTTTCAAGGCCAGCCACCACACAGTGCTGCAAAGCCCCTAATGTGCATGACTACTGGCAGGTCACTGGAAGCCCCACTATCCTAAGGAAGGATGCTCTGAGGGCAACATATTCTCAAAGTGGCCTTTAGTAAGCCACAGCTTCTTCTGTGTTTTAAACAATAAAGTGCTACAAAGTACCATTTGTTTGGGTGACAAAAGAAAGATTTTTACAAATCCTTGGACACTCTTACATCAAGAAATAGAGTCTATTTCTGCTCCCTTTGAATCTGTGCTGAGTTGTGACTATTTTAACCACGAGTATGGTAGAAGTGATGCCATGCTAGTTTCAGGCCTAGATTTTAAGAGGACTGACAGCCTCTCCTAGGTGCTTGAAGTCCAGCTGTAATGCAGAACATTGCTGGAGACTCCACATGGAGAGGGCCCGAGACTACATGGGAAAAGAGAATCATCCAGCGAACACAGCATTCCAACCTTCCTCACCAACAGACCAGTATGTGAGTAAAGTCTTGGATCCTCCAGACTAGTCTAGCACCTGCTGAATACCATGTCATGACTCCAGTCCATACCACAAGAAGCACAAAAATCCTTCAACTAAGCTCTGCCTGAATTTCTAACAGAAAATTATGAAGGGGAATAACAATACAGTTGATTTTGTAAGCCACTGTGCTTTGGGATAGTTTGTTTCACAGCAGTAGATGCCCAAAACTATTTTGTTTCACCATTATTGATTTAGCTTGTGAAGCATAGCGATGCACATTTGCATTAACAGAATTTGGGGCAAAAATTTTATAAGTATTGCTTTAAGATGATTAGATAGATACATAGATACATAGAATTTCAGTTCAAATGAATCATTCATCCCCTCTTGCTGAAGTAGATGTATAACTCATCCCAAAATATAGCTCCTACAGCAACCTGCGTTAGTCATATGCTGCCTGTGAATCTGTACTATTTATATAACTTGCAATGCAAGTGCAATCCAAGTTCTAGGCTATTTTGAAATTTATGAATCATTGTTTTAGCATGTCAAGTTGCATTTATAAGCTCATTACTTTCGCATACAAATTTAAATTACAAGCAATTCATCAATAGGGAAGGAAGCATAACGTAGAGGTTAGGAGTCCAGGTTCCAATGCCAGTTGCAACTGTTTAAATCCTAATTCTTCATTTTCCTTTCCTGTGATATGGGAAGAAGAAAAGATACTTCACAGAATTGTGAAGATTAAGTTGGTTGATGTATACACATGCTTAGAACAGTATCTGGCTCAAGAAACAGCCAAATAGGCTTACTGCAACTTGTTTATTTGTCTTCTTCAATTTCATATGATCACCTAGTCCTTTCTCCACCAAAAGGAGCAGCACTGTAGAAAGAACAAGATATCTGTCCTAGCGAGTTTAACATAAACTTAGCACATAGCACTTACCCAATGAACATACACTTTCCTTAGACACCTGACATCCTCTAAACAATTTCTTTAGGTACAGATGAGTGCCAAGCACATGGTAGTTTGGGCCCATAGAACAAATGTACCACACCCACCTGCCCCCAAGGGCTTCTGCCCCAGATTCCTTGCTGGTTTCCACGTTGAAGTTATCCAATGAGGTACTCAGCAGGCCTCCTGCTGCGCCCTGCAGCCTGGGTGCCAACAACTCATTTTCTGAATGTGACAATCTCTGAATCCAAATGAGAGGCTTGGACTGGACTTGGTGTGCAGGACTCAGATTGGCCATTTGCACAAACTTATCACGGTCTGAATTTGGGGAGAAAAAGATAAACGTACATAAGAATGATGCTGGATCCACGGCCCTTGTGGCCAAAACATCATGGGCCCCAGTCTCTCTTCCCCCTTTCTTTTTCTGCTGCTCTTTTACTGCATGTGATTATCCCTGAGAATGCAAATTTTCCTAATTAACACTTGCTAATGAAAGAAACCTCAGAAACAGAAGAAGGAAGTGACAAGATGCTCTCCCTCCCCCTGTAGCCGACAGGACTCCAAGCCAAGGAGCCTGTTCTAATGCTGCTAACCCAAGAACATTTGTGGGAATGTCAGGCTCCAGGACAACCTCCTGTAAAATTAGCTGCCCCATCCCCTTCTGCTTTCTGCTTTCACAGATCTGTCCTCCCCAACATTGTTGTAACAAATGGGTCTCCAAATCATCTGGGCTCCCAAGATAAGGCTCTGCCCTGTGAAGTATAATCTTTAATCTCTACCAGCGTTGTTTGCCCTCGTAATGATATTTACTGTAAGATCCTGTTTCCTGAAATATGTATGCGATATATCAGGCTTCCAGGTTTGACACCACCCTTTCTCCTTTCATGCAGAAAGGTTCAACAAATGACTCTGATGAAGTCCTGTACTTGAGACCGTGGATGTGAGTGACTCTTCACTTCACTATTCATATTGTTCATTGAAAAATTGGGATTTGATGATAGGTTATTTAAATTAATGAGGTTTTACACAAAGCCGAGTTAGTATTTTGAAAAATAAAAACGATGACTATATTCTGACCATCTGCGCCTTGTTAAAACCAAGAAGGAAGGAATGGTTGGACACCACATGGTGATGGAGTGACTCCTGTTTTGTGTGTGTGTGTGTGTGTGTGTGTGTGTGTGTACACGCACATGCACACATACACACCTAAAACACACTGAAGTTCCTCCACTGCAAGGGTATCCATGGGCATATATTTCTTTAGACTCCCCTCTTTTTCCTACAGTGATGTCTGGTTCATTGCCATGGCTGTGCCCACTGAAAAAGCTAGCCTTTAAAAAATACTTTTTGAGAACTTTCTGTGTGCTTGAAACATCATGGTACCATCACTCACATACATTAGGCAAGAAAGAATGGAGGAAAAGAAGTAAATTGAGTATGGCCTGGGGCTTTTGCACAAAGTCTTACACCAGGGCTTTGACTTGTTCAGACACATAGCAACAATAGTAACATCGACATCATCTACTAATATTTGCCAAATGCTTATTATGTGCCAGGCACAGTGGGAACCACATTATCTGCATTGTCTCACTTAATCCTTATAACAACCTGGGCAGTAGCTATTACTATATCCATTTTACACACGAGGAATCTTGGAGCAAAGAGAGAGTTGATAATTTGCTCACAGTCCCAAGGCTAGTAAGTGGTAGGGCAAGACTCCACAGTCTATGCTGGAAAATGGGGGTGGCCAAGGACACAAAGGCAAAGATAGCCTCAGAGGAGATTTGTTTGAGGTATGCCCAGCCTTCTGTTCACCAGGTTCCAAATGGAAGGTGACCTTAGACTTAATCATGATGAATGTTAATACCCACAGGGAAATATTCTGGGTAGAGACAGTGGAGGCAGGGTTCTTAACTCAGAGAGATTGAGTGGGTTTGAAGCAAAACGGTACAAAGATTGGATTTATAGGAAGGTGTTGTCCCTTAGGAGCAGGGGGCTCACTGAAGGTACCGGGGATGAGAGTCCCGAGGGGCTGTAAGAAGCTAAAGAGCATCAGAAAACTGAGGAGGGAGGTCAGTACAGGACAGGGACCACTTGGTAAGGTCAGGAAGTGAGGCACTGGATGTCAAGCACTTAGCATCACAAACTCAGCAGGCAGCTGCAGAACTGGTGGGGCTAGTGGGGCTGGTGGTGAGTGCTAGTTTCATTACTAGGCCTCAGCTTCAGGGGGTTGGTTGGGCAAACAGTGGAGGGAGGATCTGTTAGAAGGTAGGAGAACCAAGAGTTGACAGCCTTTCAAGAATGGAAGGAAGGGTTGCCAAGAATGCCCCAAAGCCACTGGCAAGCTAAGGAGAGTTTCTATTCCCTGGCCATAGGCAACTCACAGCATAATTTTGGCACCAGGGAAATAACTGACAAGTGCCTGAATCTGTCTAGATGTCAAAGGCTGAAGTCCAAGTGAGTTTCATTCAGTGTTTCAAGGGCACAGGAGACACTCAGAGCCAAGGGCCACGAGGTAAAAAGAGGCAGGATGAGATCCTGGGCTGCTCACTGTGAATCCGTAGAGCCTTGTGGGAAAGGGCTGAGCAAAGGCCTGTGGGCCCCCTTCTGCAGGACTGACAGATCCTGCCCAATTTAATCCTAAAATTATTTACTTGTAAAAACTCAATGATTTGCTTTTCTCCCCAGGGAACCAAATATAACTATGAAGTAATATGCTTATTGAGATAATTCATAGAAGGATGACTAAGAAACACTTGGAAAATGTTCAACTTCTCAATAATCAAAGAAATCAAAATAAAACAGCAGTAAGAATTCATTTTTTACCTATAAAATGAACAGAGATAAACATAATATCTATTCCAGCAAAGTTGCAATGAAACAGGCAGGATGACACTGGGCTTGGATGTGGCACTTGGGAAAATAGCAATGACCTTAAAAATGCACCACCTTTTCTACCCAACAATTGCACCTCTGAGATCTAGCTTAAAGAAATGATGTGAGATATCAAAAAATATTACTTCCAATAATGTTAACGCAATATTATTTGTAATGTTGAAAATAAAAAGCAAACTGAATATCAAAAATGGGAAGGATTAAGTAAATGACAGTATTTCTACACAAGTCATCCACCCATTCATTCAAAAAACCATGTATTAACCACTTCCTGCTTGACACACATCTGGTCCATGCTGGAGCTACCAAGGCAGTCACTGCCCTATGAATCTCCCAGTCTACTATGGAACTCCCAGTCTACTGCAGACTGGAGACACACATAATCCACAAATAAAAGTGGCTAAATAATATAGGGGAGAAGACAGAGGTCTACACAGAGGAGGGAGTGGTGCACTCGACCTCAGAAGTCACCTGGGGGCAGTCAATCAGGAAAGCCTTCAAGAAAGAGGTCATCCTTAAAACCTCTTTGTAGAGAATAGGGCTTATCTTGGTGATCTGAACCTGAAAGGGGTTAGGAACAGCATTGTAGACAGAAGCCATGCTAAGCACAAAGCCCTGGAACCTGAGCCTCCTGGTTGTACTCCGCAGCCCGCAAGCCAGAATGCAGAGGGAAGGAGTCAGGATGAGAAATAAGGCAGGGTTTGGGGCCAGATTGGGGAGTGCTTGACATGCCATTCTACAAGAATTGTGGGCTTCTTCCTGCAGAGAGCCATTAGCCAGTTTTCAGTATGGAAGAACATGATTGGATTGGTTCTTTTGAAAGGACACTCTGAAGGCTGAGAGAGGGACAGTTGCAGGGGTCATGAGTCCCTGCAGGAAGCCCACTTGAGAGCATTGAGGGGCTCAAGGGCCATCTAGTTCATAATTGTGTGTTAAAACTTGTGGATTGTAGCTTATTTTGAATGTATAGTGAAACTTGTTTTTAAAAACTCAGATGTATGCTTGCTTTCCCACCCAAGCCCAGTAGTATACTTTTGGTAAATAAGTTCACATACCAAAAGAAAACCGCGGAGCCGCGGTGCAGACCCTCTGGCACCGTTTCCTGCTCCACTCCCCTAGTAATCTCACATTCCAGATGTCCCAACCGGTTCCACCCTGCCTGCCTGACCGTTGATGGTCAGCCCGGTCAGCCGCGACCCGCAACCATACAAACCAACCAATCCCAAACGTCCCCGTACCCATTAGGAGAAATTACCCAATCATGGAAGAACAAGTTTAAAGTTCTTTCCCCTCCCTTGTAACTGTGCATATAAGCTGCTTGCTGCTCTGGGACAGGGCTCTCAAGCTCGAGCCGCTGTGTCGGTTTCAGTTTGTGCGCCCAGACTCGAGCCTGAATAAAGAACCCCGTGTGTTTGCATCGGAGCTGGCTCTTTGGTGGTCTCTCGGATTTAGAATTTTGGGTTTAGCAGCATTTGATGACAGAGGGGTGGGACAAGAGATGCAGGGAGGGTGGATATCTCATTTGAGCAAGGCAAAAAGCATGGCAGAAGCAATTGTGGGGGGGAAGAGATCAACTGTGGGTGTGCTGAGCTTGAGGACAGTATGCGATCATCAGATGGAGGTGGCCAGTTTTCAGTTGCATGCAATCATTGAAAATGGTGACAGCAGACACAGTTTCTACTATGAAGAAATATTTTTAAAGGCAAGGAAAAATTGTCTAAAGTAGTCCTTTTAATGCAAATAAATGTTACATTCCTGAAAACTCCTGAGATGCTAGAATTTGCAATTTAAGAAAAACAGTCTCTTATGAGCAAAACTGGCCTAAAAGGACTAATTTTGTAAGTGAGTTTATGGAGTCTTTATAAATAGTTTACAGGCACTGAAACTAGGCAATAAAAGCAATATTGATGGTGTTTCACATGCTGTTCTCAGCAATAGCAGGTAAGTCAGTTATAATTAATTTATATTTGTCATCTCTAGCTCCCTGGAAATATCCTAAAACCTCCCTGTGATTTCAATGAAATGTTTATATGTTTATCTGGCTCTGCTGCAAATAATATGCTACCTTTATGTTCTGTGTTTGACTCTGCATCCGAAAGCTCAGCAACTTCTTTGTTTCCCAGTTGATCTGAACTCCTGGGCTAGCCCCCAGGACCCAATGACACAGCTCTCACATAAATTAGTTGACACTGAACAAAACCCCCATAATAGATGACTGTTGCTCATAGTAGACTGTTTTCTCAAACTGCAAATTCTAGTGCCATAGTAGGTTTCAGGAAGCAAAGGCTGTGTTACTACTTTCACCCTGAGCACTGAACACCAGACATCGAGCTAGAAACATTACACACACTATCCCACTGAAGTACAACACAAATCTACAAGATGGCCTGTATGTTCAAATGAGGACTTTAAGACTTAGACAA